TTCCATTTTGACATGAGTAAGTTTTTAAATCTAATAGTGATGGTGGACACTAATCCGGATTCAATGTGTTCTGATTGTATGGTGCCATCAACATGTAATTGGTTCTCTCATGCTGCAAGTAACAATACTGTGTGTACATGCACAGTAGTTTGATTAGCATATGCAGGTTGCTGGCACAACAGTGTTAAGGAGGTGGAGGAGAAGTGGCTTCCTGCAGGCATATCTGTTGAGCTTTCTACTCAGCCTCTGTATTTAGGTCTTGTTATATGGCATAAATATTTTTTCGTTGGCAGCATCGTCAGTTGCCTCAAAGAAGTGGATCAGTCGTATTTCCATCCTACTGATAATATATCTGTGTGGGGCAACGCTGTTTCAGGTGGTGGGAATTTACCAGGTTGATGGCAGGAAATATATGTGTTCAGATGGATGAGAAATGGATGGATAGGTGGTTGTGTAAATGGGCAGGTGGATGGGGTTTGTGAGTGAATGAGTAGACCCTAAATGAGATTTGAAAATGATTTATTTTTTATAAAATAGGGTTTCTCAGATCGGCACCATCGCAGTAGTGCATTTTCATTTATTCCGTTTCGAATTGAAGCATCATGATTATTAGTAGTTGAAATAGGAGTCTGCGCGTGTCTACATATTTTGCAACCTGTGTGTGTGCGTGGCTGTGTGTTTTGTAAATGTATGACCGTGTTTTTTTATTTTAATTGTCTAACCCCGCTTCCCAACAAATAAAAAAGCAGAACCACAACATCTAAACAAACCTGTCAGCCACTCAGACCATCAAAACTTTTACAGTCAGTCAGGTTACATACAAATTTTTTTTTAAGCAAAGCCAAGTGATGCTTTGGTTACTTCAGGAAGCAATAGTACGACAATATTCAGGCACTCTCCTCGCGTACGAGCGGAACGTACACACACAGAGTCATTCCACTCTAATTCTCTGCAATAAACATTTAATAATAGTCCTCTAGCATTGCAACCAAAGCAACTCCCTTTTCTCCCATAGAGAAAATATTATCTTGTCATATCCTGAAAAAACTGAACTAGGCTTCAGTTAACACTATCCCCCTTATCATAAAGTACATTTAAATCTCTAGTAATTGCAGTGGCAACAACAGTTGCTAGTTTTTCAGGGAAGTGTCTCAAATATGCAGTATCTGAACATAACCCCAAAAACCTCCACTGTCCCAGCTGGTCAGAGTTATAAACTCTGTTGTCACAGCTGTGGGTGAGCATGATATCACATGCACCTGAAGAAACAAGCAGACGTTTTGACTTCGCCCAGGTCTGCCTCTCGCCACGACTCCCGTAGTGACCTCGTTAACTTTGTTTCAGGTACCCAGTTATAGCCAGCCAGCCTCACAAGCACCTCCTCCTGGGTCAAAGCAATCGATTAACCCTCAACAACCGTTAGCTACCTTTCAGTGTGGCCTGGCCTGGATATAGCAGGGCTGGGCTGAACTGCCTGTTCCCCCCTCGTAACGTCATCTTTTGATATTTGGCCTCCTTGTCACTACTGGTTTATACAGGTTATTGTGTTTATACTTCAATGCAAATGCATTCTTAATAATAAACTATGAAACAAAGCAATCTGAAATGTAGACACATTGTGAATGCAGGAGAGGGAACAGCACAGGCAAGGTTTCAACATTTTTGAGGGTTTGGTTAGTTTTAATTTTGTTAAGATAATCCCAAATTTAACCTTTTTATCCCTTTGAAATGATCCATAATGTGCAATACTTATATTTTGTCCCTCCCCCTTTGCTGTGCCAAGTGTATGTAGCATAGTCCTACTCCAGTGTCTCATCCTTGTTAATGGCTTGTGTATGTCTGTTGATGTGTGTGTCACATCTGTAAAACAAGAGTCAGGATGTTTGTGAAGAGAAGCAAAACCAATCGAGAGTTTGTCTGTATCTCTCTTTCCCTATTGTCCTTGCGGCCTTCCTAAAATTTGAGTGTGTGAGAGACTGCGTCAGGTCTCGTTGGTGTGTGTGTGTGTGTGTGTGTGTGTGTGTGTTTGTGTGTGTGTGTTTGTGTCTGCACCATATGTTGTGTGTAGTATGTGTGCTTATGTACACCTGGTGTTAAAACGCGTGTGTAACGGAGTGTTTCCTCCTCTAATTGTCTGTGAGATCATAAACCCTGACCCTCGATGGTTCACGGTGAGACCCACAGAAAATAAAGAAACCTCATTGCTAGTGGGGACCACTTTTTGTAAAAAAGAAAAAAAACAAAGACAAAAAAAAACAACAACCAACCAACAGAGATGCACATGTAAGTAGACGTAAAAGACTTGATAATGTTTCAGCACTTTCTAATCCTAGGATGGACTTGGTCTAACCCCTCTGTCTAAGACCGATACCTTCCCTAGGGGTAACATTCATTCAAAACAGACAGAGAGAATGAGAATGAAAAAAAAGAGGGTTAGTAAGGATGAAAAAGAGAGATGGCTCAGTTTAAGTTTTTGCACATCACCTAGCCGTAACCTTGTGTTGATCTGTCTGTGCTCCATCTCGCTTGGCGCCCGGCGCGTTCTTGGGTCCAACGGGCCGAGGTGTTAGGTGGTTCCTTGGTTCTTTTCTAGGAAAACCTTTTCTCATGGAATGCATCCCTTCTTTTGTTGTGTGTCTTTGGAATCTTTTCCACCCTACACCAACCAGGCTGCACCGTTAATTAGGTTTTTTTAATTCACATTTTGAGTTCTAATTTGGCGGATACATTTGTAAGGAGCAGCTTGGTTTGGTCGCGTGGTGTGAAAACGGTGCGTACAAACCTTTGCTTTGTTTTGCATTATCTTTGGTGCAGGAGCTTTTTCTGTGTTTTGGGTCTCCTTGTAGCACTCAATATAATGTCAGGAGACTTAAAACTATGTAGAGAATGTGTTATTGTTGAATTTTTATGACAAGCTTCCTCACTCGAGGAACACTGCTAATGTTGTCTTTTTTTTTTAAAAATTGGCTTCTTGCACAATTTTACAAATAAAATGAATGTTGGTGTGTGAGCTTTGACTTTTCGATCAGAAAAAAGGCATGCGTGCTCTTTGTTTCTTGATGTTTGTACTTTCATTTTGCAAAAAGGATGTGTTTTTGGCACTTTGTTGTGTTTTAAAAGTGAACAGAATTCGATCAGGATTCCTTTTTTCTTTTGTCTTTTTTTGTATGACGTCATCAATGTCCATAGCGCTGGATAACCAACTCAGGCAGAAAGAAAAAAAAACTTGTAGAGGCCCACTTAACAGTTTAGTTTCACCCCAATCAATTTACATAGTGGGCTGTTTCATATGGGTTATAAGATATGTAAATGTATTACATATAATTTGATATGATTAACAAATGTCATTATTGACAATTAACTATGAATTATTATTATGATATTATGTGTATTATGCCGGAGATGGCTTGGATTACTCTTCAGTGTACTGAACGTCTTTGTTTTGCCTCTCTTGTGCAAGGCAACAAACACTTCAGCAGGGGACAGGCTGTATGGTTCATGACCTCTGACCCTGCCCACTGCCACAGGGGGGGAGGGTGGAGCTTATCTGTCAGCTGTGGCTCATTTGATTCCTCCCCTTTTCTGAACACTCAGCCTGAGGCTAGCAACCGGTCTGTCTAGATGTTTCTCTGCTAACCTGTGACACCAAGTACTGAACTGAAACTCTTTGGCCCATGAGACGGTGGCAGAGAACCAGACATCAGCACAGACCTCCACAGACAGTCTGGCCTGCAGGGGGCTGCAATAGTTCCCAGCCAACTTGTCTGTACTATATTGTACTCACCAAGTCCCTGTGTCTCACCACCCCTTTCCTGTATAGCAATGGAGAAACCCTGTTGGTGTATGTATTTGACATCTGTACAAATGCACCTCTTTGAAAAAGAAAATGAAACCTTGACATATCTGGAATAAATAGGCGACCTGTGTCTTTATTTGAATACACTAACAAACACTAACACTGCTTTAAAAACATTCAAAACCTCAGTCATCAGATATGAAATTTTTCCTCAATGGATTTGGCTAAGTGCTAAAAATGGAGCAGAAAACAGCTCCCTCTAGTGTACAAACGGCTGCCTGACATCCCCACCACCTAAAATGTCAAACACCAACCATGAATTCTATGTTGCACTTAAAATAATTTCCCTGTTCTTTCCCTGTCCCTGTCTTTGACAGTCTTGCTCTGCTGCCCACTCATGTGTGTTACACAAATAAAAACAGAGGAAATAGAGAATACACTTTACCAAAGCCATTGTCATTATAAAGGGCAGAATAGTAAAATTATGAAGATCCTCCAGATATTCTAAATAAAAATCCATAATCTGAAATCTTGTCACTTGAGTGCAAGAAAACAGCCCTTTTTTTTTTACTCCCAAGAACACCCCCAAACATTTTGTTTCTATAATTTTCTAGATCCATTTTGCACTACAGACATTATGTGAGTTTCAAATAAAACAATTTTTTTATTTAAAAAAATATATTTTACCACAGTTCCTGTGTGAAAATCGTCATTTCTGCTTCTAAGACTTGTATTACTACAGCCAAAACATGTTGTATTAGGTAAGAATGAACACTGCAGACATTAAAACAGCAGGTGGCTTATGTAATTAATGTGACAGAATAGTCCTAATTGTTTGCCCTACATAGAGGTCATGGTGCAAAGTCAACTAGAGCTGTACCGCCCTTGTTTCAGTATACCTATTGACACTTGCTGCCAGGCAACCACTAACGCAACAACTCAGATGACAGAAGATATTTACTGACTCTCATATTCTGTATTTTATGTTTGATCCATTCTCAATATGCCTATATCAGTGCTTGTTATAATACGCCGCCTCTCACTGAAAGCAAGTGGGAAAAGAATGAACTCAAAGTTAGTTGTCTTAGATAGATAGCAACTTTGTCCTACATTGTCCCAAAACCCTGATATTTAAAAAAGTTTTGACTAAAAAACAAAATATGCTGTTTCTTGTCCATAAAGAAGAATCACGCTGATCATTCTCTGATCATTTTGGGTTTATTAATACAATGTCTGTCTGTAATTGTCATTTAAAAGTGTTTGTGTCATCACTCTACATGACTTTACCCTGAAGTTCTGATTTAAAATGTCAGGCACAGTGGAATCCATGAAGGAAGACTTAAACATCATACAATACATGCGCACAGACACTAAGGAGAGATTATTAACTATTATGTTGTCTGTCATCAGCAATATGATTTGCACAGTCTGGAGAAAATTCACATAATGATCAACACCACTGAGGAAAGTAGCAGAAGGCCCTGCATGCAGTTTATTGCAACATGATTTCTCCAGTGACAGTTAAAGGGTGACTCCACATCTTGCATATTGATTCTTGCATTTCCAACATAAAGCTACACAGTTTCCCCAAATTATCTTAGCACGTGTAACAGCCTCCTCCTGCTGAGTGTGTTTACATATACCCGTGTATTTCACATAGCTCACAGTCTTGTTTATTCTCGATATGCTGTTAATCTAGAAACATCCCGACTTCTCTATATACCCAAGCTAAAAGAGTATTTTGAAAGATTAGATCTGAGAATTTATCCAAGCTTTATTAACTGGGACATCTGCATGCGCCCATTCAAAAATGAAATCCAGTACATTCAATGATGGCATATTATTGTGTCTGTAAGCATGTAAATGCCCTCACTGTAGGATTAAGTTGATTAGAGTGCTGTGATTCTTCTGGGATAGTGTTACCAAGTAAAACTCTTGCGTTTATTTTAATCACAACCTGCAGGAGACTAACAGCTTTCTGACAGATATCCTGAGAGGAACAGGTTGGGTGATGATGTAGAAGTGTCTGTGCGGGATTCTGCTGGATGTGTCATACCACTGTCCTGCTATTGCATGTTTAAGCTGCACAGTAAATGTACAATGCATATCATGCAACCTGTGTGTGCGGACATGTGTGCGCCCTTCTAAGTGAACATCTGGCTGGACTGCTGTGTGACACGGATGAAGGTGGTTCTCCTGCTCAGCTCTTTGAGCTTGGCGGCACCCACGTAGGTGCAGGTGGAGCGGAGGCCCCCCAACACATCAAGGATGGTGTTCTCCACATCTCCTCTATAGGGAACCTCCACTGTCCTCCCCTCAGATGCCCTGAGAGCAGAGGAGAAAGGAGAACATAGGAATGAGGACATTTTTTAGTTAAAACAGGAATCATTTTCATTGCTAAAACTATATGAGATTATTCATCTCTTACACCTGTTTACATGCATGGAAAGCTAAATTCTCTGTAGCTGCCATGAACACATGACCAAAGTTCAAAATGGACTGATTAACATGTCATGGTTTTACAATGAGTATTGTGCAGTTTTCTTTTTTTAAAGTGAACAATTTTAGTATCTTACACTTTCTTAAATTATAGCATCTCAACTAGCTAAATACTACAATTCTGTGTATCCAGGTTTTGAGTCATGTGGAGTGTCTACATGTGGCACAACACAAAAAACACATCTGAGTTATAAACTGAATCCATATCAAAAGTTATATCAAGGAGAACAGGAATCTTATTAAGCTTATTGGTTGCGAGATTTATGAAGTCAGTAAGTATAATGCCTCTCCTGATATCTCACATGTCTCTCACCTATACTCAGCAACTCCACCGACATATTTCTTCATGGCTGTGTCGGAGCTCATACCATAGAAGAGTTTGTATTTCTTGCCGTTCTTCTCAATGAGCTCCCCAGAGCACTGGTCATGGCCTGCAAGCATCCCTCCCATCATTACAAAGTCAGCACCTGCGCCTGAGGAGCAAAGGCAGAGAAGTCACAGTGGTTAGATTTGTGGAACAGCACAGCACAGCCACACATGACCCAAACTGTGACTTGCTTGAGTATGAAAAGAACAAAATTGGGTTAAATACTTACCAAAGGCCTTAGCTACATCTCCTGGGCAACTGCAGCCACCGTCCTGAACAGAGAAAAATGACACATCTGTCATATGGCATGAAGTCATTCACAGTTCCAAAAGGTTTACTTAATATCCTACCAGGCTTGGAAGACAGAGGATGCAATCCACTACTATTGTTATCAACATTGGAAACTATTAGAACTTTCATGCAACAGCATATTATGGATGTGTGTTAAATTCAAAAGCAAATAATGCTCTTTGACTCACTGAGCATCCATAATGACAATTATTACTCAGGCCATCTGAACATTTGCAAAGAATAAAACCCTTAAAAGACATCTGGATTGGACTCTTTATTTCAGAAGACTCACTAAAGGACATATTTCCATTACAACAGACTGTTCAGTAGCTTGGCATGAAAAGAGCTAATTTTCTCTTTTCTCTTTTTCTGTTTTATTGTTTGTCATATTTATTTCTCTATATCTGGAGCATATTTTGCTGCTGAGTCAAATTGATCCATGCCAGGCCCTTTTTCTGACCTTTGAAGAATTGCCTTTTGCCTAACTTCACCATAGTTGATTACATATTTGTTGGACTGATGAGAGGAACTGAGACAGTAACTCCTCTCCACAGGCAGAAAAAGACAGCTGGGATAAGTACAGTACGCTTAATATATACTCTACAGAATACTGACTTACAGAGATAATGTGTCCTTTGAGTCCATGGGCTGAGTCTGCACACTCTATCACAGCACTGAGTTGCGGGTAGCCCACTCCTGTCTTGATCCTTGTCGTGCACACAGACCCTGCAACACACAGTTCACGGTGCACACGTTAGGGAAGTCCATCTTCATGGATCTATACCCGTCAGTGTTTAATTGCTGCTGCTCTAGCTACGGGAACCCGCTGTCTTTCAGATCTGGTGCTGTCAGTTTAGGTGGCTATTGTATAGGCTGGAGACAAAAGTAAAGTAAGTATCTAAATGCCAGGCCTTAAGGAGATTTAGCAATAATATCATTTAATTAAATAATTCACACTACAGTTCTTTCTTCTCATTAAAAAGTTGTAATTTTATAATGGTTCTGCTGCATTAACAAAGGCTAATCTACAAGCAATAAAACCATTCACTCAAATACTGCAAGTGGACCATACAGCACTGGCTCTATATGAAGGACACATACCTTGCTGTTTACGCAGCATGTCTCTTTCTTTCTGGCTAATGTGTCTGTATTTGTATATGAGGCCCGTGCAGTTTTGTGTTTACTCAGAGGGAGCAATTCCTCAGACAATTAGCAGACAGACTCACACAGTCGTACCCACCCACCTGGCCCGATGCCGACTTTGATGATGTCAGCACCGGAGAGGATGAGCTCCTCCACCATCTCCCCTGTTACTACGTTACCAGCCTGCAAGGCAAACAGCATTAGCCCTAAGACACAATCTCACAGCACTTCCCCATAAGTCCCAATCAGCCAAGGGGGTGAACTATCGCTCTTACCATGATGGTGTGTTTGGGGAACTTTCCTCTGACCGTCTTGACAAACTCCACAAAGTACTCAGAGTAGCCGTTGGCCACATCCAGACAGATGTACTTGAGAGCAGGGACGGCCTCCAAGATGGCACACAGCTTCTCCAGATCTGCAGTGCCGCTGCCTGAGCTGGCAGCTACATGCTGGGGAAAAAACGTACATTTTCATTCTAGGAGGAAACCCTTGTTTGTTGTTGCACAGGAACAACTAACTTTGAAAAGAAAGGCAAACATTGGTGATATTACCTCTAAGCAGTCAGGATGAGTAGCAGCAAAGTTTTTCCAGTCTTCTACCGAGTAGTGTTTATGAATGGCTGTGAAGAGGGTGTGCTAGAAAAGAAAGAAAGAAATGATTTAGACATTAAAGCAAATTTAACAAGCATAAAAGTTCTAGAATGTGGATATCGACATGCCAATTTTTGTCTTTTTATTTGTGATATCTTTTCTATTACTCATCATGGTTTCCCGTATCCAGTCTTATTTCAAATATTAAAAAAAAGATTTATTTTGGCTGTTTACATGAAAAAAACAATATGTCATCAATTCAATCAATCATGACTTTTTATATAAAGATCACAGACACTTTGAGTCAATAGCGGTTACAAAAGAAAAGAACATCCCACAAGCTAGCACATGTCTAACAGCTTCTAGGACAATGTTGCTAATTCATGTTTTTCCCAAGGCCCCACACTGCATCTTGATTTTTGTTTCATGATACCTGCAGAGAAATCTCAGTGGAAGGGCACATAGAGACAATGATGCTGTTATGTTTTTTTTTGTCAACCATTCAGTTTTGCGAACTCACTTTGCTGAGGACCCGTGCCATCTCAAACGTTCCTGTGGTGTCCATGTTGGCAGCGATGATGGGGATGCCAGTGTAGGTCTGTTTGGAGTTGCGGAATGTGAACGTCCTCTTAAGGTCCACCTGTGGGGGAGAGAATATTAATCATGGCCAACTAGGAAAGTGTTTTATGTGACTGATGAATCATTTTTTCTCTAAAGCTGACTGAGGGACACTGCAGATTTCCTTGAAAATGGGGGCAGCTCATGTCACTCTGTGTGGTCCTAATGGGGATGCACTGAATCATTTAGATCCAGTGGTCCGCTTAGACAGTATTGCTGTAATGTAAGCTGCATGAAGCAAGTGGGGCTCATTGTGATACACTAGCGCTCCCTTTACAGGAAAGTATTTATCTGTACTGATGATGGAAGTCATTGCTAAGATTCCTTTCAAAAAGATCAGCTATAAATACAGCTTGTTCCAGTGAGTTAACATGATTTAACCACTGGACTGTTAGCTGCTCGGTATGAGTGGTGTTTACTCATTCATGTGGTATGTTCCTTTAAATAGACTCACAAAGAAGAAGTACAGTGACTTTGTGACTCTCTTCTTATTGTATGCAAAACTACTGCAGCAGTGGAAATAGGCAAAGGATGCCATAACATTCACAGTGGAATAATTTTCAAAGCCACAGCAAAATATGAGACTATAAATCATAATGCTGGGAGGAAAGTGGTGAAAGATGTGTGGATGAGAAGGAAAGACTTTCCAGTCATGCGTATCCATTGCCTTGCTACAGCAAATCAATGTCTTCTCTTTGTGCAAAACACTGACTCAGCTGTATTTTCCAGTCTAGTCACTAGTAAATCATCACCAAGTATGACACATGGATCCAGCAGGCCTCAGTTATAAAACATTATTAGGATTTATGCTATCAGTCTGACCATTTAATAGAACAGGAGCGCTAAAATCGAATTGCATTCATCTGTGTCAGATATTTACTGAAGAAATGTTCACTATCGCAAATATCTCAAAATATCTGGCTAAGCTAACGCACATGTGCTGCCATACAATTTGAAGGACCTAAATATGTTTGTTGCCGTGTTGCTGGTGTTTTTTTGTTAATTCCAGTGGTGCAGCCTACATTCACATCAGAGGTGCGAGCATCTGCAAATATCTGCTCAGTGGTTGTGCATAACCATGCGGTTATGAATGCAGTTTATCCTTCATGATGTTCATATACCCTCCCTCCTCTAAACCTCATGGTAAGCTTAGCTTTGGCAGGGGGATTTCTGCTCCCACTAAATGCAGCAATAATTCAAACAAGAGCAGTCAGAATGTCAACAAATGGATACTGCTACTGCATATTTGGCTGCATTATATGCTGAAATCAAGTCACGATATGTAAACTATTCACATCTAAAACCATGTCAATAACTTTAGGTGTGTTCTTTATTATTTAGTTAATGTAGAAAAAGTTGATTTGATGGAATGTAAAGAATGAAGAGAGGTGTTCAATAAATGTGACAAAACATTGAAATGTTTTTTACTGCACTGATTGTAGTAAAAACAAATGCTCAAGTAGCAACTAGATGTTCTCTGTGCTGTTATCTGTGTCAGTGTATATGTATATAATGGCGTCCTGATAGCTCAGTGGCATTTGGAATGTGTTCTGGTTGACTGTAACACACAGTACTATTTTTAAACAGGGTTTCTGAGAAGTCTCCTGTGCCTAGTGTTGCTTGCCACCTGTCAGAAGCCAACTCCCAGCCACTTCCACCTTCCACCCCAGATCTTGTGCCACCACACCAGCATCGTGATCTTGGGTCAGTACCAGTCACTGATCTAGTGACACATAGCTAAGTCGGAAGTTGTGAAGATAAAACAACAAGGAGAGGGTTGCATTGTCCCAGAGAGCCAAATCAGTGGGTGCTAGATACACTGTGGCATGTTATACCTGCTTGTAATGAAGAGTTATGACAAAATCAAGTCCATTTAAGTTCAAAATTATTCTCAGACTCTCCTCTTTTTCATTTGTTGTTTTCTCTGTTTTTAGACAGTTATTGTTAATAGCTTCTGTCTGGTACAGGCTAGCCTTGTTTTCTGTCACCTTTAAGAAGGTCACTACGCTGTTACATGCTCGTTCAGGGTAGCTTTCTTGCTCACCAAAGTACAAAGGCAGTGTACACATACTGACTACTTACACAAAGCAACACAACAAGGAGAGGCCCAACTGATGATATCAGTGTAGCAAGTGGGGTAAGAAGGTCCCCAAATGACTGGCCCACCTGGCATCCACCCCATATACATACATACATATGTCTGTTGTAAGTAAACAGTAAACAGATTGCACTCCTCCTGAGAAGTCTGATAGGTGATTGAACTGTAGCTGTAATATTTGGATTACATTATCAAAGTACAAGTAATTAATAGCACTGACCTCTGAGCGACTCTTGAGGCTGCTCCTCTTGGGTCTGAAGAGGACATCCTTAAAGTCCAGCTTGAGGTCTATGTCCACGCGAGGCATCTTGGATGCCCAGAACACTGATGACCAGGATGAGGATGATGAGTACCGCCTGAGGAAGGCTGCAGCAGCAGTGGCGGTTGCTGGTCCCAAGCCCCAACCACCAAACCCGAACCTCCAGGCGGCCAGGGTATTTATAGCAAAAGGGGGCCTAGCCTGGCCCCGGCCCCCATGGCTTTATTTGGGCCTGGACTTCCTCTCTCTCTCCCTGTCTGACTATCCCCCGTCCTCTCTTTCTCCCTCCACTCCGCCAGCGTTCTCTCTCTCCCCCCTGTCTTTCAGCAGAGTGGCAGCAGCAGCAGTGGCCAGGCTGGAAGGAACGCCTGACGCATATACACAAGCACACACACACACAGACATAGTAGCACTGCAGTAGGTTGTATGCTGCAGTGCTAAAGAGCACACCTGCTGTCCAGTTGGGGCATTGCTCCCTAAGATATTGGCAGACCCCACAGAGACAGAGGGGCAGACAGACAGAGGGAGAATGACAGCAAAGAAAAAGAGAGGGAGGGATGTGGAGACACAGAGGAGGACACACTAAAGGAGAACAATGTTTGTGAATTGACACAGTAAAATGGGAAAGTAATTTATTAGTAATGGTGTACAGTGTGCAACAGGGAACATACTTTGTTGTTTCTTTGTACATGTGTTTTTATCTTTCCTTGATCTATTGTGTTTCTTTTAAATTGTTAATGCATCTATTGATGTGCCTTTTGTTCAGCTTAGTATGCATCTCAAAGTAAAGAATCTAAATTTTGGAATACTATAATATACAAAAATTAACCTTTGATGCAAAACAACTCTGATCCCTTCTGTTGAATAAAGTCTAAGAATGTGTTTAGAATGCATCACATGGTCTATTATTGTAATATGCATTGTATTAAAGATCCCCTCCACTTAATGTGTTTTGCTTATTTTTTTACTTTTTACGTCACTTGGATGTTTGACCTTCACTGTGCAGAATGTTGTAAGTTCAGAATTTGGCACTAGAAAGATGTGTTCACATGAATTTGCTGAAGGGAGGCAAGGTTCTTTGTGCTCACCTTAAATCTCATTTTAAGGGTTAGTAAATACAAGCACGATTTTGTGACATCATAACTAGTTGTTACGCCAATCCTGGTCCCATATGCAACTTATACAGTATGATGTGGAAACTTGAAAATGGAAAATTCTGCAGTGCGCATACACTGTGAATGGACTTTTCAGTGAAGTTGGAGAAATCTTGTATCCAGCAGTTAAACAATATTTGCTTATTCATAAGGATTTTTCAAAGAGGCTGTAATTTTAAGAATTATTAATTAGATAAACTTATTTTGTGCAAAAAACACATCATACACAAATGATTATTCAAAGCAGAGTATTTAAATGTTTATTAAGCATTAAATATCATATTAAGTCTTTGCTATTTCCTGCATTATATAAGCAACTTCTAAATTGTCCTAAATGCAAATAAAGTAAACCTTAACAATTACATAAATACAGTACTAAAACAAATACTAAATACTAAAATGAAAATATTCAACTGTATCCCAGAATAATTAATTGATATATCAGAGGTCAGTGTTTTTAAGTATTTTGTAATTATCTTCATCCAAACAACCAATTTCCCAGCATTTATGACTGTTATTTGTAAGTGAGACCAGTAGATGTCAGCATAGCTGAAGAAAACAGCTGCTAAAAAGCAGAAAGCCACCAAGGTCAAAACTCTGGTTGAGGTGTTTCCTGGCAACAAGAGGTGCCTTTATGATGTTTATGTGTCTAGCTTTGTCACCTTTGCCTTTACAGCAAGGTTATATTGTTTCTAACCAGAGTATCTTTGTATTTGGTCCATGGAGGAAGCAGTTATTCCTGAAAGCATAAAAACTGAAAATTAACTTTCCACAAACAGATATGCTGCACTGTCAGCCTGCAATAAAAATTAAAGTGAACGGGGTTCATTCATCACACCATTTCAGTGTCAGCTCTGCATTTCCATATAAATAAAGGAATCAAGTGAAGAAAAATAATTTGACATTACTGAATTTGTGACAAATTTACTGAACTGAAATGATTACTTATTGGTGGAAGTAAACGTATGAAACAGAACAAAGCTTGAACTGTATTATTATTTTTTGGATCCACGGAACCTTCGCTTCTCTCCTCATTATTGTACAATCTATAGCTATGATGTAAAGCAGTTGCAGTTGCTATGAACCCACTGCTCTTTAACCCCTTGTGTGCGTCACACTAAACTGCATTGATAAGAAGGTGCTGAGTAAGGTCAGCCTTTTAAAGCAGGGCAATAAAACTGAAGAAAAGAAAAGAACAGTCTGGCTTTATCTCTGTTTTCTCCATGTTTTCTTTGTCAGCTTGTCATGGTCACAGCTGGAGTCTCAGATGTTCATCTGAGTCATCTGGGTCACTCTGTTGTATACAACACCTGTAATATTTGACTTAATGTCTAGAAAGTGCTTTTTATAAAAGTTGAGGGTCCCACAACATGTGTTATTTTGTATAAATCAGCTGGCTACAGAGCTTTTGCATACCGTGCTCCCTATTTGTGGAATGACATTCCATTATATGTAAGGGAAGCACGTTCAGTGGATAACTTTAAGTCAAGACTGAAAACCTACTTGTACTCACGTCACTACAGCCTCTCCTAGAATCCGTATTGGGTCAAGGACTTTTTAACAACTTCTTAATCTGATATTTTTAAATGTAGCTGCTTTGTCTTCTTTATCATTCGTTTTTTTTGCTGTTTTTGCCCTTATGTGTTATCTTGTGTATTTTATCTTGTGTCTTCTGTATTTTATCCTGTGTAATGCAATTTTACTCTTTTGTATTTTATCCTTTAGTCCAGATTGAAATATCTGGCTGGATTGTTATGAAATTTTGAATCATTTTTCCTAGACAATGAATCCCAATGAAACCTTTTTTTCCCCAATGAAACCTTTTCCTGTAGCACCATCATCATGTTCACATTTGTGATGGATTTTGGAATCAATTTGGTACAGGCACTCGTGTCACCCTCAGGAGAAATTGTTCTAAACTTAAATTTTTCATCTTGATTTATGACCAAACAGGCTACCTGCAAGACTAATAACGTTCCCATCAGCCTTGCTAGCACTTTGTGCATACTAGCATGCAAAACTAACATGGTGGACATAGTAAATATCATATCTAACCTGGTGAATATCATCATGTCAGCATTGCCATTGTGAACATGTTACCAAGCTGCCGTTAGCATTTAGATCAAAGCACTGCTGTGAGTAAGGACAGTCTCATGGAGCCGCTAGCATGTATTTGATAATTAACCATTTTCTCTACCCATGCATGATGCAGGTTTACAGGCACTGGGCAGAATCACAAGAAAACACATCTTACTCACAAGAAATTGGTATCTTGCATTATAATGTTTTTTTGCTGGCTTTTATTTGCTCAGGTGTGCAAATACTAAATAATAATAAATACTAAAAACAAATTATTTTATCCTATGGATACACTTTTTTAGTATCACTCTAAATAGTAGTACTTGTTGTCTGCAGATTAAAGACTAGATAGTTTGATTAAGGAAATGATAATGATTTTGAAATAAGTGATAAAAACAATATTGTCTCTTCATTTTAAATTTGAAAAATGTTCAGGTATACACAGGTAAGGTAGGGCCATTAGCTCCAGACGTCACTAACACGTTAAATTGGACAATTAAATTCACTGCATGCAGAACATTGTGTATCCCTGCTGCTGGCATGCCGTTTACACTTGTCTAAAACTTCTGTGAGAACTCGCAGGCATGCACACACCCACACACACACATACTAGACTGGCCCACCCTGTATCCAGTTACCAGCTGATGATGCCATCCAGAGGTGGGCTCTGTTTGCCTCCAGAAAACTTAAAACTCAACTCTCAAATGCATTCAGAGGAGCTGCGTTTCCCTTGGCAGTATGTCATTGGGCCAAGCAGATGTGAAAACCACATGGCAGTGGGTGGGCAAAGTTGGTGAGAATCTTTGATGTGCTTTTCCTGGCATGAGTTGAAGTGATACAAACTTAAAAATTCTATTTGTTTTTTTTATATGAGTCGCCCATATGCAGGTAACGAGGATGAAGAGAAGAATCTTTTCCATCAGGGAGTATGGGCTGCTTTGTGTTTGAAGTCATGAACTAGAATTTTAATCCAGGAGACGACACTGAGCAAAAAGTGAAGCACTTCCTCTTTCTCAGTAGGCCATGGCTTCTGCATGGACATACACAAGACGTAGGTGTAAAAATAATAGTAATGAGCTCAAACTCTAGAGAAGTATGTCAAATGCCGTTCTGGGTTAACCGGAAAGCATGGTAAGTCTTCAGAGACATGCAGAGGAATGGAGCAGACTTGCTTACTTGTAGAGCTAATTTTCATATTAGCTCTCCTCTCCTTTCTGCTTTTAAGTATACTGTTTAAATAAATATTATATAATTGAACATAATTCTAAAGTATGTTTCTCCAGTCATAAACCAGCTCCTCCTTAACCATCATGCAGTAAGTGTTGGTGAAGGCACAAGCTTGAGGTGGCCTGTCACCACATATCTTTATGTCAGTCAATTCTGTCTGAATTTGTAGAAACTGAGAGTGAAATTGTGAGGTGCACTCTTTTCCAAATTATTCTCTCATTCTTTGTCATTGGGTTCTGGCATGTGGAGTAAACAATGTCCAAGTAGCCAAGTCAGTCATAAATGTGGCACATGTTTCTGTGAGAAGCGCACAGAAAGTGACATTCGCTCTCAGCATGCAACTGTGAAGTAATTCAACACTGATAGCGGCAGTGCAAAGCCAGAGGAACACCTCTCTGCCAGGGCTTGGCATAGAGGAAATGTACAGTACAAGTCAGTAAACACACGGGGAGCCAACAGCGCAGACTGCTAGATATGAATCTGTTGGGGTTTCATAAATTAAAACATTTACAAAAGGGGATTTATTTAAAGGAAATGGCTGATAGAGCCTGCGTCATCACTACATTCTCCTTCCAGCTACAAATCACATCCCACCTGAAACACCTTCCTGTGTTTCTCTAGCCTGGGCCAATTTTACCAGTAGTTTCAACTGTGAGAAACTCAATCCTGCACCCTTTCAACCAAACTATACTGTAGCTCCCAGTTTAGTACCGTCAGACATGTCTATACATTCTACTGATAAATATGGGTCACAAACTTGCCACTATCAGGTTTTTATTGACTATTGCTCTTGGCTACATCTACACTAGTAAAGGGACATTTGCAAAATAAAGTCTATAAAATCTGATACAGTACGAATGTAAAGACATATCTAAATCTTCTGTGAGCTTTTTGGTTTTAAAAAGGAGATTTACAAATGATGTTTACCTATCCATTAATTTCAACAAAAAATTAAAAGGGCTGTAAATGTCTCACATGCCAGGGGCATTTTATTGAAACACGATTCTTGTAGAACATAAATATGCAATAGATTAGGCAAATCCAAAATCCACAGTCTTCAATGAAACCACTAAGCCTTTTTAGTGTTCTCTTTCTATTTTTCTCTGACTTTCTCTCTCTACATGTCACCTCCCACTGCAAAATCCATATATTGTTGGAAATTTCTCAACAAGAGATTACTGCAGTAGTGTGTGGTATTAGATACATTTTGGATTAGCGTGACAAAAGAGAACATTCTCAGATTTTCACATTTCAAAGAGCTTAACATCTCTGCAGTCTTCCGATGTTTTTTATTCCACTGCTTTCTTTAGCAATAGATCCTAATACCATAAGCATGGTTTCTTGTTTGTGCCTCAACTACATGTCACTGGGTCACAGCAAAGTGTCAGTGCAGAAGCTGTGACATGACCAGCTTGGCATGCATCCATGTGCTTGCGTGAGAATTTGTGTCAGGAATGCAAAGATGTATCACTGTTCTGAGGTTGCTGCATGTTTGTTATTTTTCTTGATCGCATCTTAAGGTTTAAAAAGTTTAACTTCCCAGTCAGACTGCTACTCACAGTGTTGTTTGTTTCCATCCTGCAATGATACTGGAGTTCTGCATGGCTGACTGACAAGAAATCACAGCACTCTTCCTCATACATCTCTCCCACCCTGCTGTCATCGGTGTCCTTGGAGTTTGTTTAATGGCAGTGATGCCTGAGAGCAAAAAAAAAAAAATGAGAAAGGGACGAGAAACATTCTCAACCAGAGGGTCATGGAAAGACAGGAGTTCAGAGAGGGATGTTAGAGGTCAGACTAATCAATAGCTGCTGTACTCACTGTACTTATAATCACAGCCCAGTGGAGCTTGTCATTCCTCATCAACATAGAGAGCTTCATTGCCCCACTGACTGCGCAACTCTCAAATCCCTTTCCTATTCTGACAATGACAAAGGACGTGTTGGCCTTTAAGTGCTCAATACACCTGGGGTGCTGCAGAAGTGAGGACTAAAGTCATGGGAGGCATTTGCTCCACACAGAGCAGGACACAAGACAACCCTTTTTGGCCTTTCTTTTCTCACCATGTCTCACTGGAAACCTCTGGGGCCTGACCATTTCAAGACAGCAGGTCCCCTGATTTAACTCGATAACTCTGCAGAGTAAAACAAAAAACAGGCCTCATGAATGAGGTTAGCAAGAGTTCAATTTAAGGGAATTCCTGGTTTTACTATGTATCAGTAAATCTACTTCTTGGAACAGAGGCATGATATAAATCGAAAATTGTCCTGACAGAGATGACTACAACTGATTGTTGTTGCTAGGTTACCCCTCATAAATCACGGCATTAGAGGACATGATTTGAGACAAACAAACAGCGAGAAGTTTCTCCTTTTCTGATATGTGCTGTTTGGCAGGCAAAAGTATCAAGTGTTTAACAACAAAAAAAAAGAAGAAAAAAAAAAAAGAGATTTAGGGAAATAGTTTTTTTTCTTATCTCTTTAATCAGAGGACCACTCAAATTTACTTCCAGACCTTTGGGTGTTCCCAGCCTCCAGGTTGGAAACCAATGGCCTAGTGGCACCCACTGAAATAATTAGTGCACCTTTACAGCATACAGTCAATCCAACATACAGTGCAATCTCAGTGTTAATTCCTTAAGTCTGTTATATTTCTGGTTTTACTGGTGTCCTCTGGATGTTCTGAATTGTGTGCCACGTGTACGTAAGTGCTTTCAGATAACATACAAAACTGTAACACATTTCCCACAAATCCAGTTTGTTTTTTAAAAACAACTTTATTAATACTTTTGTTAAAAACAGAATATATAAAAATGGTTTAATTTTAAGAGTTATTTTACAGAGCATAGTGGCTTTTGCTTCAGAAAACAGAAACAAATCGCTACCTGTATAATGTGAAAAAGTAAAGAAATAATGTTTTCCTTTTCTAGTCTGTGGAAAGTTTATTATAAACACGGCGTTGCTGCTACATTAAGGCCAACCCTCTACAGACATGGAAAACTTCCTTGGTAAAGTGACAATGTCATTTGTTTTGTTTATTTAAAATATAGTCTTTGAAATTAAATAAAACTTAAATGAAAAGCTTTTCAAAAAGCAAGCAAGTATTGCACGGACATATCTCCTAGTACCCTTCAAAAATATCAAAAAGGAACTCACTAGTACAACCCAGAGAAGAAAATTACAGCTGAGGTTTTCAAAAGCAGCTGCTGCTGGACAAATTCCTATTTTTTAGCCTTGTGGTTAAGTGTCTAGTAGAAGAGCTTTTTGTGCTCTTAATGTCTAACTTCATTGGCATGGACATAAAAATGTTAAAGGTGCAGCAGACTATGAAACTGGGCTTGTTGCTGTGGACAAGCGGCGGTTAATCATAAAGACCCGTTTCGAGGTGAAGGAAATTGTGAGTGTGTCAGCAAGATACTGCATTTCATGTTGATGGGCAGAGTTGTGGTGGGCTAAAAGAACTTCCACAAGAGTAGTGCCATGGTGGTCTTTGTGCCTGGTGTGTCTAAAAAGTATGCAGTGCTATACCCTGCGCACTGCTGCTTAGCCTCTAAACTCCCACTAATTGTTTATCATTTTTTCCATGCCAAACATAAAAATAAAAAATAAAAAATGCGTTTCACTCCGTAACACCATAAAACTCAGTTATCAAATCAAAACAGATAAGCTTTAAAATGTCCGGGCAGCCAGTGGAAGACCATTATGTACAGTGTAAGGGCTTTTCTGAAACACAAGTTCATTATATGGTTAGGGTTCTGGGGCTAGGAGCTTGATATGGAGCAAAGAAAAACAACCAACAGACAATTCAAAGCATAATTCAAAAACAAAAGAATGTTTCTATTCTGGATCAGGTCAACTGATGCAATAATTTAAGGATGAATAAGAGCCCAATTTAAAAATCAGGTAGTGGCAGGGGATAATGGTGTTTAAAACATACATTTGAACAGAATGACACACAAACAATACCAAAAATACTAAGAACCGACCAGACAAACCAACAGTCCAAAAAGACAAGGGAAATAGTAAAAACACACACACACAAACACACACTAGCTGAGGGAGTGGTTTGAGTGTGTTGATCTTTGATTACGCTCAGGAGTTTCTATATGTTTGGTAATTCAAGGAGTCCAGGCAGGAAACATAGAAGGATGAGAAATGTTGCTTCTTTGTGAAACCTTAATCTGGCTGGTACAGCTTCAAAAGTGGAGAAAAAGCATGGAGTTGTCTTTATGTGTGATAGAGCTTGTGGTCGTACTCCGTGGCAGAGCAACTGTGAGAAGCCATTTCTCTGTGAATGGTTGCAGGGATGCCGCTGCGGTGTTGGTGGTTGTCGGTCAGCGTCAGGTTGAGCAGGCTGGTGCACGTGGGTAGGAAGATGTGCTGCACATGCTCCACCTCCGACCGACAGACAGGACACAACTGAGGGGAAAAAAGGAAAAGTGTTTTAAGCACAAAGTATTGTTGATTTATTAACAGTGAGCTTGTGTCTTGAGTGGAATCTTTCTCATTATGTGCTCATCAAGTAAGACCCCACACAACCACATAATATCTTAAAAGTCGCCACATCTCATTTTGTTAAGAAAAACACACACGAAAAGACCAGAGTGAGTGAAACTATACCAACTTAACAAATGCACCAGTCTTGTAATTTGTGACGGGTTAACGGACAAGTTGCTAGTAAACTGTGAACAAAGAGGCGTCAAAGCCAGCAAAAGAGAAAGTACAAGCTAAGAGAACATGCAACCACAATCAGACAGCATCATGAGTCACCTGCTCACACATAAAATGAGATGGGGAGAGTATTGCCTTGAAGGCAACCAATGTGTCAGCACTCAGGTCAACTGACCAATATCAGAGTCATAATCTGAAAACTTCACAATCATGCTGAAAGCAGTGGAACTTTCTTTCTCTCGTCATAAGTTTCTACTGACTCATTCACATGTCTGTTAGCTGGGTCACGTTCCTTAGTTGAGTTAATTGAAGTAAGATTTGCCTGGCTGCTATAATCCCTTTATAAGAGACACACACACACACACACACACAAAATCTGTTTCCACAAAGATGGGCAACATTTAGCTGATTAAGTGGGGGGACAATCAGGTCAGCAGAGTGTAAGCAAGGCTTTGGATGTTGTTTAAAGGACCATAAAAAAGGATGAGAAGTTGGAACTAAAGTATAATTAAAGAGCTTTTGGTATAGCTAGAAACTCAAAGTATGCTGATGTGCCTCGAATCAAGAAACAAACAAAACAAAGTAAAACTTAATCGGCTGGTCAAGCTTTTGCATTGTTGTCCAATTAACTTGTATTAAGTAATACTTCTAAGGAAGTGTTGACATCAGATTTGGCAGTATAGCAAATACCAATGGTAGCACTTCTGTATGTTTGACTTAAGAAAATGCCACTGTGGCTGATAAACTCATGAGTCTTCCGTAGAAAAGACATTTTCACAAATGAGTGAAGAGTCTCACCTGAAGCTGACTCGCGCAGTTCTGGCAGCACACCATATGTCCGCAGGGGCAGAACGCAGAATCTATCTCCTCCTCGCAGCATAGCATGCACAGCAGAGCCTCTCTGAGCTTCTGCAGCTGCTCCTGTAGGGCTCGGCTCTGCTGGCAGCTGCCACAGTCCAACCCTTCGTCCTGCTGCTCATCACTGCTCGGCGAGCGTGAAGGAGAGGAGCGCTCGCCGCTGCCAGAGCGGGACACCAGGTCCACGATGCCAGAGTTGTAGAGGGCGCGGCGGGCGTGGTCGTACACTTCTTTGGAGGTACGTCTGATGTCAAACACGTACTTCTTGCCCAGGTTGATGTTTTCATTGAGGAAAAGTGAAGCTAGGTGGCCTTTAAAGTCTCTGCTGTACTGCATCATCACTGCATTAGTAACTGTGTCACACCTAGAAATGAAAATAAGATGAGACATGATTACTAATATCCCCCCAGCACTGCCTACTCTGATACCACATCCACCACTGTGAGATAAACACCATAACACTACAACGTTTCTGAGCAAGCAGGATGAAGACATGCCTGCAAAAACATCTGTAGACTCTCAGCTAAAAACCCATCCCTGAAACAAAAGGACAGGGCTGTCTTTTGTACGTTTGTACTGTTGTGACTGACAACAATTTCATAGCTCAGCCATTTGAATAGTTACCACACACACAAAAAAATAAATTCCATCTCTGCTCAGTGAAGATTGTCCTGTGCGGTCTAGGTTTCTATACACACCCATTCGGGTCAAGGACATGTTTTACATGTCTGTGTCTCCCACTTTGAGGGCATTTATACCATTAAAAAAAACAAACAAACAAAAAAACACAGGGTTAAAAAGGGAACAGGAGCAAACTTAGTCGATGTGTACAAATGTGGGAGAGTGCATCGCATGCCAAATAGAGCAGAACAAGTCTTTACAGAGCACATTGTAGGTCAGGCTTTCCCCCTCACCTCTCTCATAATCTGCTAGTCTTTAGTTAAGGATGGTGAACGATAAACTGCTCTATATCATCAAAACATGCTATAGTGATTAGCAACATTGTTTTAAAACAGGTCAGATGATTTGTGACTTGCAGGAAAGACTGTTGACAGAAAGTTTCCATATAGAAACAGAGTAATGCAGCAGAGCTTAAAATTTATTTGAATCAATATCTTGGCTCAGCACATGAGGTGAGCTACAGTCTATAGTAGAGTCTAACTTGCCTCTAATAATTAAAGGCAGTACTGACTTTGTGGACCAAGTTATGAAACGGACTGAATCTACTTCTATTAAAACCCGACTGCACAGATATGTAGTTTCCGAGTGTATGTGCGAGTCATTGATGTGGACTGTCTTTAGCTCTCACCTGTAGAAGGCGTGGGTCTCTGTAATGGCCCGGTACAGGCCACTGGCTGCCCGGTTACTGATCAGCTTGAACATAAGCACCACGCTGTCACTTGTGTCCTTGGTAACTGTCAGGTATACACTTTTCCCCGACTGAGTGGCAATCTGGATGACTGGATAGCTTACTCTAAGATGAGACAAAAAGCGAAGAAACAGTTACATATTGAATATTGGTCAAGGCAGATATGTAAAGTACCACTGGTGGATTAAAAGTGCTCTCTTGAATTCCACTTTCGTAAATAACACAAGACAATATGCCTGCTATGGTGATCCAGTGTGCTAGAAAATGTGATACAGTGCCCAAACGGCCGCCCTTCAATAAAAAAACCCCTGTAATGTAGTGCCCTCTACTAGGGTGCCCCTTTGTGTGAGGAAAGACTGTAAAGTGCCCTCCAAGGTGCCTTTGGGCCCGTGTCCACCAGCTGAGGGTACATTTTGGAGGCGCAGTGTTTTTTTCCGAGACGCTGTGGTTGCTATGATACATAATTTCCATGGAGGCGATGTGTTGCAAGTAGGGTAGCCTACTTAATTTTACTGAATGTAAAAATGTCCGTGGGTTCATGAGATTTTGCGGGCGAGGAAACACCTCGGTGAGTAGGCACATCGTTTCATTCAAGATCGGATGTGCTCGGTGTTTGTCCCGCCCATCCTGCACTGTGACTGGACGGCTGGGTAAAAAGTGACAGTGACGAGCGCAGCGTTTTTCCCCCAAAGTTGAACATTTTTCAACTCTCGGCGACTGAAAAAAAAAAAAACGCTTGAAAAAATGAGGCGCTCCCATTACAATGAATTGAAAAAGAAAAAAAAAAGACGCTGGCGTCAGAAAAAAAAAACACTTTGGTGGACACAGGCCCTACATGGGCGAACAATGTGAGGGGAAGTGCCCCCTAGGATGTCCCAACGTTCGAGAAAATGCAAAACAGTGTTACAATGGGCACACTTTCAATGAACAAATTGTCATGCAGTGCCCTCTAGGGTGCCCCTTTCTGCAAAAAAAAAAAAAAAAACATGAAGGGCCCTCTGCATGGACAGATTACTGCATGTGCCCAGGGCACATCGTTTCCGGGGGCGCTTGAGAATACTGATTGTCTATGCTAGCTTTTGTGGCTGCTTGAATAGCATGAACGCACATCGTTCAATTTCTGTGCCTTGTAGCCCCACCACATGAAGCTGGTGCCCCGTTTGTTTTTTTTTTCGCCTCTGCCCCTCAGACAGTCTGAGTCTGCCCCTGTAAGGTACCACCAATATAAGAATATAAACAGCTATTTGCAGATGTGTAGGCGGAGCATACCTGTTGACTAAGCTGAAGTCCTCCTTGCAAATGGCAATCCCTTCAGGGCCGACTCCTATCGCCAACCGTTGGCCATTTGCATCGCGAACCCAGTGCCACTCCACACCGTAATGTTCCAGAGAGGAGACCAGCTGCAGAGCCTGATACTCCACTGAGGCCTGACTCAAACCTTCCAGGGCCTTGTGTCTGGATATGATACTGCAGAAGGGGTAAGTTTAGGAGAGAGGAGGGAACAAAAGACAACCATTTAAGTTTATTTTGCTGGAAAGCAAGGTTGGAAATGACATTTTCTGACACAAGCCTTATCATACAGATAATATTATATTAAGGAACACCCACTGTGACTGGTGTACTACACAAGCAGGATAAGTATCACTATAGTGTGTTTTAGCTGTCAAAGACCCTCCGGCAGTAAGCTCTGATGTTTTGTTCTGACAACTATACTTATGAGATCAATGCTTAGACAGCATAGCTGAATGCTTCTTTTAGCCTGTGAAAGCAAACTGTACAGACTGTGGTTAAAAACAAACAAACAAAAAAAAAGCCTGATGGCCAGGGGTGGGAGTAACAAATTATATTTACTCTCATCACTCTAACAAAGTTGTTTTTTGTGTAATTGTATTTGGCCATTTTTTTAAATCTGTAATTTTACATGTGCTTTGTATGTCTTACTTGTATTTCACATTGTACCATGCTACATTTTAAGTCGTATCTGCTCGAGAATTGAAAAACAAAAAAGTCACATGAAAAATTATTTCGTTTATCACGACTTAAAGGAAAAGAGTCAAATGAGCAGCTGCAGCAGAGAAGTAGCATTCTGCATTTGGCAACATTTGTGGGCTGTAGCTGATGTGGAATTTAAATTGTTTATGCATCTCAGTTGTCTGCCTTGGATCCTTCTGCCTGGTGCTTTATTTAAAAGTAGCAGGTTATTTAAGTAGCTTAATAATGCTTTTTGTACATCTATATAAAATTAATTTATTGTTGGTTTAGACATAAGGGGTCTGTCATGCAGTTCCCACCCAAGAGAGGCAATGTGATGTCCTTCTGTACATGTTAATGCACTTTATTTTGTAGTCAAAATTGCTTGATAATGTACAATTCAAGAGCATGTGAGAAACAGTGCCATGTACACAACAAATGTTAGTAGGCACTCTAAAGGCTCCAATTACAAAATGGACACTGCAGTAATTACTGGATACATTCCCAACAGTTGCAGGTGGGGCAGGCATTGCTGTGGATAGTGTGGTCTGTTGTGTTGTTTATACAGTGGGATCCTTGTTCTTGCGAGAGTGAAACTTTGTCAACAAACATTCAAGATGTACTGTCAGTGCAAACACATGCTACATGATCTGTCAGCTGCTCTGTGTGATCTGTTTGGCTGTTCTGTGTGTGTTAGCTGTCTAAGAGCCTACGTGCACGCTGTGTGTGATGTGCTCTTATCTGAAGTCTTTCACCTCAGATAGATAAAGTTACTTTGGCTGAAAATAAAGACAGTGATTTATAAAAATGCTGCAAAATAGAAAAGACGGCACTATCAGTTCTACTCAGTGTGGTTTGGTACTTTTTGCTTAAGATAGCATTTTGATTTATTACAGTTCATTTCATTTTAACACCCGTGGCTCATTGCCAAGACCCATTATTTATTTATTATTATTTTTCATCATGTCTTTATGCGGTGGACTCCTACCTCCCTTACAGATAGTGAGGGGACGGAGCTTCAGGAGAGCTGACAGAAGAAAGGTCAACAGCTTTCAATGATTGGCCATAGCTTGTTCACTTGTATGTATTAGGCTACTAAAATGTCATTTAAAAACTATTTTTTATTACAGTTAAATGTAGAGAGAAAACAATTCTGGGCCTGTACAGAATAAAACCTATTTTGTGCATGCTATGTATTCATAATTAAACAGTCTCTTCTCAGACAATCAAGAACATTTCAATTTCCTGCTCCTCTTGAAACCTATGTTGGGCTGATAAAAAGTAGTGCTGTACCTGTTGATAGTGGCAGTGGTGGGCTCCTCTCCACACAGCTCTGAGTACCAGTACTTGGCTGTGTTTTGGTTGTAGTCACCAAACTCGGCCTGTGCCAGGAGTGCACTCAGCTCCTCTGCTTGTTCTGAGCCCATGCGTAGGTGACCGTTATGGAGGTCCTCTTTCACGTGCATGAAGAAGACGTGTCTGGAGGAAGAAAACAGAACAGTGGTCAAATGGGAAATCTTTCAATTGCCAATGTGATGTCGCAATCAAGGGTCTGTCTTTATGTCTGCCATTGGGAGCATTATCACAAACTGTTCCCACTTTCGTTGTTCAACTGACTTTCAGGTGTTATCATTGAGGAGTCAGGACATCACACACACACACACACACACACACACACACACACACACACACACACGTCAGAGCAGGTGGTCATTGTAGGGCTTGAATTTCACCACAGACAGCAGATGTTTGTGGAAAAAGCAACTGTGCCATTTGTTTACGAGTTACTATGACTCACTTTCTCTTTTTCAATTGCTTCCTCAAAACACACTATTAGAACTTCCTTTAAGTGTAAATTCACTAGAGGCTCTAAATGTGGAAGTACAGAGAGGGGAAAAAGTTGCAGAATTGAATGTTGTTTTGTCCTGTAGAGGAAGTACTTTTACTTGGTGACTCAGTGGGCAGCTGTGCTGTACTGTACTGTATCTGCTGGGCCAGTGTGTGGTCACCACATTGTGTAGTTAAGCAATAAATCTGAATGGTGAATACAAAAACAGGATTCAAAATGAGTTACAATGGCCTGCATACTGTCTGCGTCTCTTGCTCTGTGGCTTGATGTCAAAAATGTGTTTAAATAACACCACACAATATGGGCAATATGCCCATTTAAAGGGCAAAAGGGAAAGTTAACACTAATCTTGTTTTGCCAGACAGGGGAATTCTTGTTCGAAATGAGGTGGGTTTATAAAGTGGCAGTCCTGAAAAAAGTTCTAAGATTAACAGTGGTCAAAAACAACAATTGTTATTGTTAGGGCTGAACCATTAGATGAGAACACACAGTTCTGGTGTGGCCAAGGAAAACAGCTATATTCTCCCAACATGAGCCATGGCAGGTCCTTTCCATTGTTTTTACCAGAAGATGTGAGGAATTCTTTCCTTCTAGCAGCAGGAGACGAGACGTTAAGAAGGAGCAACACCCTGAGTAACTCAATCCTTCAATCATGAAGAAAGTTGAACTGAAGTAACTTAAACAGATCCCTCCTTGAGCTTACCAAAAGGCACAGTAACCTTGAGAAGATTGCATGGGCACCAACATACTTTCAGTCACCTGCTTCTGTAACCACTGGCCAGTTGAAAGCTGTCCAACTGGTTTATGTTGTTGATTAGCTGGGATCCTGTTAGTGTTGCCTGGTGCCTTGAGCTCTTTCATTTGTGATGTCTTGCCTTTGCCATCTGTCATTTTTCCTCCCCATGTATCCATCCACATTAAACAAAATTCACATCCCATTTCTCACTTGACACTACCAGAAATGAAAGCATGACTTTGGCCTCCTGTGCCTATGTCTGTCTGAATATTTTGGCTGTGGTATGTGATAGAGTAAAAGCATACTGCGCCTGAAATTGCTTGTTATTTCTGCAAAAAAACAAAACAAAATCTCCCTTGGGCTAGGGTTCTCTTTGAAGCACGATGCAAAGAGAGACATTTTTCACTTGTACAAATCAGGTCACACTATGACTTGAGGATATTTGAGAGGGTTTAGAGGGGCACTGAGTGGAGGGGGAAGGTAGCGCTCATCATCCCTTTATTAAGTTTAAATAAACCCATTGCGTTTTGTTTATTAGATGATACATCCGGCTGAGGTTTCTCGTGGGACCAACAGATGACACTGTAATGAGCTGGAGTGACGTTTCCTCTATCATCTTATGGGACTAAAAACCAGACTCTTGAGGGAGCAGCGCACAAATGGCGGAAAAGAATATGCGCACTTGTGTCCTGCTAACCGCTTCAGTATGCAGCAACACAGACACACCTCGTCCGACGCACATTCACGGTGCTTCCGAGGAGTAACAACAGTAGCGAAAGCAGCTGTGAGGCACACAAACAAAGCCAGCCACCCCTGATAAAGCCAGACCACAACAACGAATCCCCATAGATGACTAGCCTCAGGCATAACAAACAGTGCTTTGATATGGTGTTAAACATCCCATTCCCTCCAACGCATACACACACAAACACTGCACTCTATTGTGTCAGGCACAGCAGGCATCATGTGATGGAGCGCTGGTAGTTAGCTACCTGCCTGACGCAAACAATAGGGCTGATTTGACTGGGAGTTTACTACAGTGTGCCGACAAAGGTTTACTATAGGGCAGGCCGCGGAGGTTACTATAGTTCAGGCGGGGATTGGCAAGAGGTTAATAGCGGTCACCGTGCCAGTGAGCAAGACATTTAATATTTATAAAGCTTCCTTCAGCACATGTCTGAGCCGGTTAGTCTGGTGTTGTGACACCCACAGTATGACTCCACATTGTTACTTATTCTGCGTTCAACCTCAGCATTGTTTCGCTTAACCAACCATATGTGACAATGTGGACTATGGTATGTATCTTTTGGCGACTGGGCTGCTGAGTAAGGAATCTGACTCAAGCATTTCCCGGTGCTGTGATCCCCATGTGTAAACAGGTGAACGTAATTTGCTGAGCTCAGGTCAAAATTCCAATTATCATTTGGAAGAAAACACCTATAAAAACAATAAATAAAGTTGTATTACTATCATCATCAGTCACAAACAGGCTGTGCAACAGAGGTAACTACAGTTCACCAATGCAGTTTCTGCTCGACTTCCCTGAGGCATCAAATATGCAATCTGCCAAATACCACAGAAACAACTAAAATCGCCGACACACAGCGGCTTCACACGCAGGTAGCAATTTCTCTCATGGAGGCCACTGTGAAGCTATACTGCTTATCTGCTGCTCTAAACACCAGCTTTGCACAGAAATGAGAATGCACTACATAACTCTTGTTATGATAACAAGGGCAGATGTTTTGTACAGAATGCCCTAAATATAGGCTGGTTATTGTATAAACTATTTGAGAAAACAACAACAAGTATCTATATTTCCATGGCCTCTCCATTAAGTAGCTTCTCAGCAGGATCAATCTGTTCGAGAGGCGTAGTGCTGCTTCAGCACCTGTCAATGTCCATCCTAAACTAAGTTCAGAGCATGGGAGAGACTATAACCCATAATTCATCTCCCAACATGGTGTTCGAGGCTGACTGGTTGAGATGGACTTTAAAAGCCTTCTGTGTTTGCCTTTTTTGAAAAGGTTTCCTGAGTGGGCACACCATCTGAGACCTACTGATGTGAAGTGACTGCATGTGTCTGGACACGCGCACAAACAAAAGATGTTATTCCATTACAAGTACAAAACCCTCAATCAGGTTTACACAGGGCTGTAACCAAGGTGACAAGACAAGAGACAACAGAACGGATAAATGCATTCTCAACTAAACGGGCATCCGAGCAGATGACAGGGAGTTTAAGTTGCTGTGCCTCCCTTGAGAGTGACTTGGCTAGAACCACGGGACTAGAATCTGTGTCTTACTGGGATGCCAGGCTGCATCGGACTCACATGAGAAGACACTGTATCAGTAGTTAGACCTCGCCTCTGTACGCTTCAGTTTGATAAACCATGTCAAGGACCAACACACTTTACTATACAGAGACATCTGCGCGCACACACACACACACACACACACACGTTATCGCAGAGTTGTCCGTGAAGCGCTGCAGCCATCATTGCAGCATTGCCTTGTTCTTTAGACTCACTAACCCACAAGACACAGACTGAATGCCAGGAAGTCTGTGCTGGGACCAAAATTTCCTGGCCAAATTTTACTTTATATCCCTCACCGTTGTTTTGTCCTTCATAGAGAAAACCCATAATCACTGTCTTAAGACACGTACTAATTTACAGTTATAATACCCCTGAGAATGCTAACAGCATAGGAGAAAATGAATGCTACTCAAAATAGGGGTGTGGGAGAAGGGGAGGTGCTGCAGGAACGTTTGAATACTTGATTGCCTGACTGGAATAATTCAATTAAAGCAGCCTGAACCCTGAGAAATAATATTTGAAATTAGGTCACTGGCTACAGAGCTGAGCTATGGGGATGAGGATGACATAATTAACGTTTTTCAGCTGATATCTTCTGCCCAGTATTGGAGTCGTGTATGTAAAACATTATAAAATCCAAAAATACAATGTTTGTGCATTTTAAGAAACTCAATGTTGAACCATTTGGAACTTTTATAAGAGGACTTTTGAACTATTTACAAGTTTTTATATGTACTCTGGTGCCAGAGAGAAGAAATCGGACGCTCATTACCAAGTCAACTAACCTCTCCAGTCTGCTCCGCACATCTATAAAACCATTGTCTCATTTTAGTGTTTTCTGCCCCAATCCCAGTGTCTGTTCACCAGTATGCAGAATGTCAGCCGCGTCACCACACAGAAGAACAAAGAGTCCCAGCAAACTGAAACCTAACACCTCTGCCTAGAGACTGCATCGCATCTAGCCAATCACCAGTAGAGTTCCTCTCATCGGTTGGTGCTCTCAACCATGCGGTTTGTAAGCTAGTCAAATAACACACTGCCTGGAGCTGTGTGCTGCGGGGTCACCAGCAGTCAATGAACTTTAGTAAACTCTGCTCAACATCATCTCCCAAGGTATGAGATGAATGGAAAGTCAAACACTTAAACGCTTATTGAAGCGTTCATTTACAAGGAAGCTGCAACACAGTTATTTCAAGCACTAAATGTAAACACATACGCTTTGCTCCATGCAGAGTTGAATTGAAAGCTACACACCAATAAAACAATGAAGCTGTTTGTATGCTAAAAGCCTTGGGTTACAAGGCTGGCGCTCTGTACTAGATGGTAAAACAGTGATTAAAGCCCAGCATCAATCCTAAATTCAGGCGCCAAACAAATATAACCATTCTGTCGTTCTTGGGAAAGGAGCTAATGTTATGACTTCAAACAAGACAAACAAGGGCGAGGTTACTTGAGTGCACAACAAACGGAGGAGGAAATAAGCTCACAGGGAGAGTATAAGCAACTTATCACTGATGGTGGAGCATGCTGATAAAAAAATAAAAAAATAAAACTTGGTGGTATTTTTGGAGACCCACAGGCATCTTGTGTGATCTTTGGCTTGACCGTCTCCGCAGCCTGCCACAGTGAGCAAGAAATGATAACTTGTGCGGGACCTGAATAAATTACCACAAAAATTGTTTGTGCAGAACATTCAGTTAGAGGCAATGCAGGAATTTTGTCTGAGAGATATTTGCTCTTGTCTCAGATTTAATGGTGAATTAATGTAAGATAAAACTGCCATTTAATTTATTTATACAAAGCTGTAGCTTGCAGAATATAAAGTGTAGTGGAGTTAAACCTTTTCGTCAAGCACTGCGTTTACGCTCAGGCACACAAAATTGTGGGAATGTTTCTCAATGATTATTAATGTAAATGTTGTACATCCATGCAAAGTCCTTTCCTAGTTGATACAGTCTACAAATGCAATGCAAAATATATTGAGGTGTAATTATTAAAGACATAATGCCTCCTCCTTAGTTAAAACTCATTTGGTTTGGATTTACTAGAGTTAAAAAGGTAAGCCCAACACCAGCGAGGTTAATGATCAGGACCTCTGTTAAAGCCTGCGCTAATAGCTGTGCCCTTTCAGGATATCCAATGTTTGCCTGATCAGAATGTTAAATACGAGGGTTAATGAAGGGGAAACATTCGCATATTTAAACCAGAAACACCCCCTAGCAAGTGGTGCTTAATGATGCAGATAACACAGGTTGTTGTTGAGGCCCTTGGGTCAGCGTCCCTAAAAACGAGCTGTATGTGACATTCACTGCCACTAAATGTCGCACTACAGCACCAGCATCTCAGACCAAAACAAATTAGCTCTAACGCCCACCAGACACCATTTACAATAACAGTAGTTTTACCTTGCAGATCACTGTAAAACACAGTTCATTTTAACTGGACAGAAACAAAATTAAACTCACCAATGACACAGCTGCAAAACGGGCTGCAATGGCTGCTGGGGACAAATGCGCTACTAAAGTGCTTGTTTTTGCCACCGACAGCCTCAGATTGTTACTCTAAGTATCTGACAACATTATGGAAAGGATCCCTACAGAGAAACTAGATTTATAAAAAAATAAATATAAAAAAAAAGTCTGGGAGAGATGGGGCAAATGGAGGATTTCAATGTAATGATCAACGAAAGAAAACAGGTTAAGAAGAAGTCTCAGAAGTTGACTCTGGATAGTACATTTTCCAGCATGAGAGAAAAATTAATTAACGCAAAGTACCCAGATAGTCAGCAACATGTGAGCATGAACACAGTGACCTGCTAGGCTTTACGTGGCAGTGCACACAGCAGCTTATATAAGCAGCTCTGTGCGTGCTCAATCCAGCGCAGGTTACGTAATAAGGCCTATAAGAAGGGCGTAGAAAAAGAGGCCCACCCCTCAGTTCAGCAGTGAGATACGGTTACGATACAGGCCCTTTTGCTTTGTCCATATGCTGCTGAGAATATTTACTCCAGCTCACATACACTGGCTATGAAGCTACTGAAACCTGCTGTGTGGTTATAAAGTGCCATGTGGCTAATGTTCACTGTCTAACATCGTTTGACTGTTTTGACAGTAAATACAGCAAACTGTATGCCATACATTGTCTGTAGCCATGGGAGTAACAAAAATGTGCAACAGAGGAAAGTCTGTTTGCCATGACAAGGAATGCTGCATGCCTGCACTCAGTTGTGTGGAGATAACTGTGGTAGCTTAAGTAGGTCAAAGTTCAAAGCACAAAAAATATGTTACATGGGGCCCCACCTGGTCCTCAAATCACTAATTCACTATGTATGAACATATTATCCAATTCAAGTTAGAATTTTTTCAATACAAGTAAAAAAACAAAACAGAAAAACAATACATTTAATATAGTTGATGAGTGACAGTAATTAACAGAAATCACACATATACTGACATGGCCCTTGGAAATGAAGTGTAGCAGTTTCCCCAGAGCTGTGTAGGTCCCCAAAATGACAACACCTTGGCCTTAACTCTAAAACTGATGCCAGTGTTTGCAAATTATATCAAATTTGAGCAGATGGATGGCATGAAGGTGCCGCCAAAATATAACACACAACGTGACAGCATGTTGATGTGCGCCGTGTGTGAGTATTTATTAGCAGCAATCCCACGTCCCCTTGCCTGCCATCTCACATCTTTATCTCACCTTTTTTCACAACCACATGACCCCCACCCGACGGCAGCCATCTGTTGATAACCCCTGCTAATCTAGTGGAGGTCATAGCGCTGGCAGCCAAGAGTCCGCCGTGCTCATGCTCTCTCCCCCGACCCTCCACACTACCTTTCACTTTCTTCTTCAAAAAGGTTGCCAAATATGGGACAGAGTTTAGGAAGCAAGAAGAGAGCAAAGTTGATATCTTTATATTTGATGCAGCAGGGCGGGAGGGAAGGAGTGAGAAACAGCTGAACGCGGGGCAGTGAGTGAACTGGAAAGAAACTGAGAGCTTACTGGAATGCCAGACAAATCCTGGCCAAGGCAGATACATGACAGTTTAATGAACAGCTCTAGTGGCATGCTGTGTGTGCGCGCAAGTGAGAGGGCAAGAGCAGCGTGGTGGAGCTTAAAACGACACCAAACAAATGTCCCCTCAAGCCTGCCCTCCCTTCCAACCCTGCAGTATCAGACACTCACGGCAGCGCCTGGGGTGAATAGAACATCCACGGTATCAAACTTGATACAGTGTGTAAAATGTCTTTTGGACAGGATTCTGGGGGCTGCCAATGCACAAGCTATTTATAACTTGAAATGAAAATGTGGCTGGATAATACTGAGTCAGGAGGATCTAGACTTGTCCAGGCTTGTTACTTTGTTCTGCCTGGTGTTTCTTCTTTAAACTAATCTGGCAGAGAGGAGAGATTGTAGGGGGAGATATGACTCCAATACGTTATATGCTGTAGCAAGTTGTTTGCTGGCTTTGTGTTTCTTAGATGAAAACATCCCATTTCAGGCACAGGTGATTAAAAATCTTACGTTTATATTAAATGTATATCCTGCTTCTTTCAAAAACTACTGCAAATATCACTATGAAACCCAGCTGCAGTGCTGACACGAAATAATGGTTTATTTCTGTGGAAACAAAAGTTATGAGGAAAACACCCTACACTGGCATGTCGCAGAGTTTCCAAACAGCATCTGCAGAAATGTCAAATGGAGAGCTGTGCTTTTGTTCAGACAAAAATGGCCACAAACAATTGAAACAAAAAAAGTTATTTTGAGTTGAATGGGGGCAGTGACAGAGGTCCTGGCTGTCACACAGAGGGTCCCTAGGGGCAGGCACAGAGCTGCAGGATCACATTTCCTGCTTAGTGCGCCACCAAAAATGACCTATAGTAACCCCGGAAGAGCTCACAGAAGAGGTTATTACAGGGCGTTTCACTGTACTGCAAGGAAAGTGATCACATTGCGCTCTGGGAACTTACAAACAATAGTTTTGTTTTTTCCAGCAGGTGCTCCTCATTGCAATCATAAAGAAATCAAAGTATATTTTAATGACAAACCCAAAGACGGTGACATGCTAATTTGCATGAAGTATGTGACAAAGGTTTCGGTTATCATATCTGTTCATATGCCCAAAAAGTTTCATGTGGCAGATTTGTCTATGCAGCACGCGAGCTGGTAAACATACCTCGTCTGTTCCTGCAGAATGAGATGGGGCTCCACAAAGAACTTGACCCGCAGCCTCAATCGACAGGGCGTCACATTATCCATCTGCTGGCAGATGCGGTTCCTCAGATTTAGCCACAGGTTCTCTCCTTTGCTGCCGGTGAACTGCAGCCCAAAGTAGTCCACTTCAATTATGCCCAACTTTCTGCAAACCTGGGATGAGATGAAAGAAATGGGTCACAAATGTGGATTGTGGACAAGGAAATTCAAAGAGGAGCCTAAAACCAACTGTGTGGGAAAGAGTGTGGAATCATTTGGACAGAGGAAGATTTAGTTTCTTTAAAAGCTGGCAGTGTCTTTTCACAGCACGATGGACATATAGCATGTTGAGCTTTGTGTTGTGCCAGCAGGCTAAAATGTCATTGAATAGGACAATCCATATTGGATTTTCCCAGTGGAGGGTGGCAAAAATCAACAGAATTCCCCAACAGGAATCAAAGTTTCACAAGGCCTGCAGGAGGCTAAGCAAAGAAGAGTGCTTTTATCACTTTGTTCATTAGGGTTTCAGCTACCACGGTGCTACTCTCACACAGATAAAACCCATCAATATTCTACAGGTCGGGATAGGGTGGAAGCAAACTTGGAGGCTCTCCCGGGATAAAGGAGGCTCATGAAACCCACAATCCCACGCCCCTTGAGCGTCGGCGACGGCCATGGGGTATTACATAATTGCTGGTGTACGTCTGCACGGACCCCGGGGGCTGAGATAAAACTCATTCATACACCACGCAAATTGGGATTGTGCCATGCTTATGAAGTTGATTTACATTTTATTAGCGGAAAAATCTACTTGAGGGTTCTGATGAAAGGAAAAGTTTGCATGCTTCCTGTCCCCATGGGAGGCAACCTTAACAACTTAAAGTTTCGGTTTGAGCGGAGTGAGAAAGCCAAGTGCATGCAAAGGCAGAAGAATGAACTCTAGTAACCTCGACAAAGCCATCTGCCTCCGACTAATCCAGGTAGAGGCGACAGCCAGTTTAAGCCCATGGTGTCGAAACTTTCCTCTTGTAGATTAAGTCATACGTTTCAACTATAAATCGACATTTTAAAGGTTTTATTGTTACGTGTAACGTTTTTTTGCACGTTGCGCGCAGCAGAACATTTTGTTTCAGCCGCCCTTACGTGCAGCAACTGAGAAAAGACGTTTCCATAGTTTTGTTGTTGTTGTTTACAAATTAAGTTTACAGTGGATATAATGTCAAGCAGCGTATACAGTTTACTGAAGTAGGCTACGCATCGTCGTGCAGAGATCATCTTATTTACAAGAATATTTAAGTCACACATAGGATAAGCGACGAGTCGATCAAGCTTAAGTTCAGGGAAAGGGGACGTTTGAAGTTTCGCAAGAAAACACTGCCGCCCTGCCTGAAAATGACACTGTGTTTTAAAATGGTATCATAATAAGAAAACGTGATGTGTATTCCACACCAGCCTACCTTATTCAGACAGTCTTCACCGTTCGCCTTCCCGTCAACTTCCACTTCCATCACCACCGAATCCGGGCGAGTAACGTGGCAGAGCATTTTGGCTGTGTACTCTCTAAATCTTTGGCGTGCCACGCTTTAAAATAATAAAAACACTTCTCGAGCCCTCTTGAAACCCCACTACATCAAGCCTTCGTCACTTTCTCAGCCCTTCCACTTCGTGTGGCGGATTGAGACACCAGCTGTAGGGCTATATCAATGAAAAGCCACGCACAGCGCCGCCTACTTCCAGCTGTCCAATGACCGCCAGCTTGACACAATCGCTGCGAAATCTTAACCAATAGGAAGTTGTGTTACATCAGCACGCTGCTTTGGCTCGAGCTTGCCTCCCGTGCCTGGATGTGTGAGGAGCCCACTGCGCCCTCATCTGGCTCGCCTGTTGCAGGGGCCTTTCAAGTGGCTTTCAAGTCACCTGCTCCTAATGAATTAGACATTTCAGCGAACTTCAGGTTTTCAGCAGTCCTCGGGGTGAGTTTAATGGCTTGTGTACGGTTCCCCGCTCGTCTTTTGTGAATAATGTATGACAGTGCAGTCCAGAAATAGCTGAGATAACGGGAAAACATCCCGCTTTGCTAGTCTGCTGTCCACAACGTTTATGGATTTTTCATGATGGCGGCCCTGTTGTGTTTCCAAAACTTCTTCATAGTCTTCCTTGCTTGTGTAACACGTAGACCAACGTTTTACTTTTGTCCTTGACCCGAACACACGTTTGCTAAAATGACCAGTGACCTCCCTGTCTTCAATGCTGATAGGAGGCGTAAACAAATCATAATGACATTGCTGTGATGGAAGTTGTTTGCATCTATTTAGACACATTTGTAGAAACTGACTTTAATTTAAAATCTTTTCACACAGGTTACTGAAATACTGCTGTGTGGTTTAGTTCCTGCCTTAATGCATTTTCTCCACTGACTTATAGTAATGTAGTAATATAATTAAATGTTAATTCAGCCTAATCTGTTCCACAATACATACTCCTTAATGATATATTATTATTATTCCACAGTGGGAGACAGCCTGGGCCAGAAGACAGACAGACAGACACAGTCGCGCACACACACACTCTCATACTGAAACTAGAGAGGCATGGTTTTCAGCCAAGCCCCGTACTCGTCTGCCAGGGGACATTTTACAGTAAAGCCGGTGTGCCTCTCCATATTTTTGTACTCTCCCACGACAGCATTCCTGATATAGAAGATACAATAGACCCAGAAGGATCTCAAACACGCAATCATTTCCTCATTCTGTTGTTATTTTCATATATTTTTACTTTAGAATGAGGATGAGTTTCAAAATTCACATACTGAAGATGCATTATGTGTGTATCTGTTTCTGTGTGTTCTTATCTGGATGCTTTTCAGTTGGCCAAGATAAAAAGAATGCAGATAAGAGCTATAAAAAGTGGTTATCTGCAATAGTAACAGTTTGTTTGTTATATACGTATCAGATCCTTCAATGGAAAGTGGAAATCCAGTTTAGTTTTTTATATTGAGTTTAAATAACTTAATAACTAACATTATGCATTCATTTATCACATCCTAAAAACGAGTGATTTGGTATTTTTATTTTGCTACTAAGCTGTGGTTAATGATATCTTGCCAAACCTGTGAGCACCAGCAACTTGGCCACACCATGTTTACTGAGAAAGATGGAAGAAAATCCACTGCAAATATTTTTACCAAAATTTGAGGGCATGCCATCCTCAAGATTTAAGGCTTATTTTGTCATCATGTTGTTTGCATCTGATGTTGTTGGTAACTACTTGTATCAGTGCGTCAAATGCAACTGCTCAGGATTTGGGATGGTTTCAGTAAGTTTCTCAGTAACATGCAGCTCCCTACAATCAAAAACTGACTCAACAGATTTTATCAGCTACAACATGTGTGTGTGTCTTTCTGTGTGTGACATGGGCAGCCCGTCTGAGTGTCCATGGCTAGTGTCCTTTTGCCCCCGAGGTGATGCAAGAAGGTGAGCAGGGAATGAACAGAGAGACGTGCAGTCTGAGCAGCCATCATAACCATAAATGGAAAAGCAAGGAAGATAGCGAGTGACCTAACATCCACTGTTGACATGGGAACTGGAGGTACTCACTGAGCAGGCACACACATACAGCCGCACACACATACAGCCACACACACATGTACTCTACTGCAGCAGCACCTGCGGGTACACAGCTGGTGGGCGTCTGTTTTTGGTTTTGTCTCTCTGACTTTCTCTCTTTCTGTCTCATCCAAAACACAACAACAGACATCCATGCAAAAGTAAATTGATAAATAAACACAGAAATTCTTTGTGATAAATTAACAAACATCTGTTGTGGCTAACAATTTCAGTGGTCATACTATAGATTTATAACACTATTTGTGCACACTAATAGATTATTAATTATTAACATTTGGAATTGAATACCAATACAACAATAAGTGCAAGAAGAACTAAAATAAGGTGAACAGGGACCAAACAACAACAACAACATTTATCTATTAAGACTCCCCTTTTGCACATTTAGGTCAATATTTTGGAGTGGGGATCTTTTTTTTTACCATCTGAGGTCTCACACAAACACAGACCATTTGCAGACTCCTGGTTCGCGGCTAGTTATGACATCATGCAATGTGGCATCACTTCCCTCTGAGGCAAGTCACCGCTCACTAGACTGGAGCGTGAACACATAGCCGTGCAGTGGTGTGTGTGTGTGTGTGTGTGTGTGTGTGTGTGTGTGTGTGCACGCTAGTGGGCACATGACATCACAGCGTCATCACTGCCCATCTCCATAGCTAAAGCTGTGCCTCTTGATGCAGAGATTATGTCAGAAAGTGCCATGCTAGCAGAGCTGCTGCAGCTGTTGTTGGGGTGGCTTTGATTACGTTATTTTATTCTCGTAAGCTCAAATAAGAGCAGGCGGCTAACTGATTAGTCGAAAGGAGGGATTTGTTTGCCCAAGTATGAGGAAAGGCCAGAGGGCAAGCAGCTCCTCTGAGTCCGAAGAGAATCAACGGCCACAGTTAAAGGATTCCAAAGATCAGCCGTCACCACGTGGATGCTCATCAGATGAAGATTCACAGTCGGATTCAGATGTGGAGGCAGAACGTGTGATGAAGAGGAGCCAGAGATTCAGCAGCTCTTTCAGCTTCGGAGAAGATCACCAGCTACAGTCAAAGAACGGGAACAGAGAAGAACAACTGTCTCCAAAGAACTCTAATGAAATACCCCTCACAGAGCAGGTGGAGGCAGAATTAGCTGGATGCATGCCACGTGAGAAACAAGACACTTTTTGTGACACAACTCAACCTGCAAGGTCAGGTTTATTCAGGCCTCAGGAATTATGGCTGGCAATGACGAGATGTCTCTCCCTCCGATGGCCTCCTTGTCTGTCCATCAACAGACAAAGCAACAGGAAATTAGCTTATCAAGTGGACCTTGACCAACCAGAGGACACGCAGTCGTCCGTCAGCTCTGAATCAACCAATGAAAGCTCTTCAAGTACATCTAACTCAGATGAAAGAGATGTGACACTGGTGAAGGAAGAAGAAGTCAGAAACAGAGGGGTTAAAAGCTTTCAACCCTCTTGTCGCGGGGTTTCTCGTTCCTCCCCGAGATTGCCAAGATCCAGGCAAGCTGCAGACTCGGTTTTAGCTTCAATGATCTTGGAGAAAGAAATCTTCCTGAGGATTGAGCTAGTAGATTCAGGGGATGAGAGGGAGGATTTACGCTACCGGGCAGAATGGAAGCTGTCAGAGAGAACTAAGGAACTGGCTGAGGGAGTTTGGCTCTCTCAAAGCCAAAAATTGATGGATTGACCTATCAAGTTAGGGGTTTGGTTGCCTTTCATGGGGTCGTCTTTTATATTATTCACCCATCAAGTTAGATTGGTTATTGCAACCATGAGTAAATTGGTTATTATAATCATCTAATCTTAGATTGTGTGACAGCTGATTAGTGGTCTAGATTTCGATGAATAATCAGTAAGATTGGTTTTGCATGATGGCTGTGTAAACTGCTGTGTGCTGATACAAATGCAGGGACTGTGGCTAACTAATTTGAAAGGCTATTTTCAGAAATGCAGCACAGTTAGACTTAATGTTTGCTTTTCCGCCTTTCTGGTTCTCTCAGAGAACATTTTATACATGGCTGGTTCCATGTGTGGGAGGCAAAGGGGACCTAATAGAATATGTCATGTATTTATGAATCAAAGCCTTATTGTAATATGGGTTTTATTTTCTTATTAAGAAATTATACTATTATGAAGCCAGCTAAATTGTATGTAGATTGTAATTAGTGATGTTAGAAGGGCCACCCTCATTGTCAGACTGTGCTCAAATTTCCCACAATGGAACACTAATTTTGTTTCTCTTGGTCTGTCTGTATGCTTCAACAATTTAATGAACCTATTTTGAATTTTACAGCAAAGTGTGATTTATAGTCAATGTGCACCATAACAATAAAATAAAAGCAATGTGTTCTTATATAGATACCAAAGAAATTCAACACAGATTACAGTCCAAATCCAAATTAAAATCTCATGGTCAGTGCCTGCCAGCAGTCTTTAGTAAATAGACAAATTTTTTTTAAATTAATTTGGTCATTTGTGTTTTAAAAGTCTCAGACAGCATATTAAATGTATGGGGGGGTTATGTGATTAATACATAAATAATGTAGTCTTCTCATTCTGACAGTCAAACCTTTTGAGGCCATCACATACAATATGGCAATGTGTGGCTGCACAATTTAGATTTTACATGACCAGTGCTATTATTATTGCTGCTTTTCCAAATAGGAGCATCCCTCAGTATTTCGATGCATAGCTGGAACCTATTTTCAACATGCACCCACAAGCTTACCTATCTTTTACATACCAGAGCTATACTTTTTGAGGTTTAAGGTTATGAATAGGGGTATGCATAGGATGTGTACAGTGTAGCTCCTTAAGTAGTAGTATTACATTTGACTATTTGTCTATTGATAAAAAAAAAATATAATAATATAAATACATCATACCAACTCCCGACTGCAAGTGTACACAATTGTTTTAATGAACATCTTTCCCAAATGCCAACTGTACGTCAGCTGTATATATATACGATAGCAGTCTCACTGTCGTTCATGTTTGCATTTTATGGCTTGTCATGTTTTCATTTCTACTTCACTTACATCCTGTTTCAGTATACACATTCATAGCTGGCCCGGCAGTACATCATGCAAATGATATCTCGTAACAGAACACATTCAACAAATTGTTCTCTCAATGGACTAGTGTTTTCTGTTTTTCTCGGGCTTGTGACTGATTGTAACTGTACAGAAACGGAGCATATTTGCATTGAGGAGCTGGCATGGAGACCCATAGTGTGGAAGATGGGGAAATAAACAAACAGAAAGAGAGAATAAAAGTGTCTGTTAAAGAAGTGCGTGCATGTATGAAAAGCATGAGGAAACGGGGAAAAAAGTAGTCTCATCTGTTGTGAGCCAGGAGTGTTTCATCCCTAAAGCCACAAAACATGCAACCCATCATCACTAATGACTGCCTCATTAGGCAAATGATACATGTACCAAAGACGATGATGCAGTATTGTGGCGAGTATTCAATAATAACTCGATTCCTCTTGGGTAAAGTATTAAATAAATGCTGAATGTGTTACTCCTCATCTCCCAGTCATTATAGAGCATTGAAATGAGGGAAAAATATAATCTGGAAGTCGAATAAGTAATCACACTGCATCTTTTTAAGATTTTACAACTTTATTCACTGTAAGTATTTGATGTATGTGAATTAATTCATGCAAATATTACTTTAAGGTTTCGCCAGATCCATTAATTCTAAGTTATCCAAAAAGCGTAAGCTTATACTCCTTAGCTTTCAGCCAAGTTTTAGGTTTGTCATGACACACTGAGTAATCCAAGCTCCTGAAAGCCATTTAACAATTTAAAATGATCTAATCCTCCTAGAGTATGAAATTGTGTCAGACAGCATCCAAAAGAAATAGTTAATGAAATTTCTTTCTTGGGTTGGCAGTGCGACAAAAGTCATGAAACACACAGATACATGTATTTTACATTCTTCATAAGTAATCAGTAATATTCATATTTTTTGCAATTATTGTTGTCTTATGCTGTGACACTTTAGTATTAAAAAAAGTGAAATCGATGTGCATAAGGCAGATATATATGTATAGCTAATGATCTCTAGAACATCACTATTTAACATGTGGTTGCTTCACAATGTAAGATCACCTTTCCCTAAGCAAAGATTAGTTTTTACAGTGTCAATTTTCCTCTGTCTTTTCCTTTGACTGCACTCACCAGCCTTTTTCTCACCAGTTTTTACTTTTGAACAAAAAGTGTTTCATGACTTTGTCTTCTTTGGTCGGCTATTCCAGAAACTATCAACAACCTGACCTCCTCTGGCAGGAAGCACTCAAGATTGTATTGGCACCATCAGACCCTGGCAATCGCCAAGATTGTCAACGAGAGCGTGAAATAAGTATAGAATGGCGAGTTCCTCTTTCACGGTTTATCCTCTCCGTCATACAAGTGTGTTTGTAAACTGTGCTGGAAGGAACCGTCCCCAAAGATAGTTACATAACGTAGTGATGGGCTGCAAATCCCAGCAGAGGACACACGTTCCAGTCGCCAAAGGACAAATGTGACTTCATGGAATTTTGAGGTCTTAGGAGGCTAGCCAGACAGTAATTGCTTTATCTCCTTGGCCTTTTAGTTAGATTCTATTAGATTTAAAGCTTTTTAGAATAACCATTATGGTTCTCTACCCTCTAATGTAAGCCCACTGCTGCTTTACAAATGCATTTAGACTTAACACTTATTACTCTGTCTTAGATTATCTAATGATAATGCAATACGTAGGAAAAGCAAAGACATCAGCCAACTTACATAATGTTTCTGGGCCTCTGCTGAAATCCTAACTTCTTTAGGAATATAGAACTGAGGAACTTTGTCTCTCTTGACAGGCTTCAATCAAATTATATAGGATTACGGTATGTCACGCTTTGTGTGACTACACAAAGTGTATTTGTATCGCTCAGGGTATTTTCCATCCCATGTAAACTCTGTTAGGCTTTGCTGTCCTCA